TTTTCTACCAATTCTTATGAACTAACAAAAACATATCTTTCTAAAATCTATTCTATTGTCCTAATTACTGCACAAATTTATTTGGAAAACCCGATTCCATTGTCTAGGATTTCACTTAAGCTTATTCACGTCACTCAAATATATTTTAACGAAGAAAATAATTTATGCATATCTTACGTTTTGTTCAATATAGGTAATCCAAAGATAAAAGACTTTCATTCTTCGAAATGTTTGTAGTTTATTATTCGACTTATCTGAATTATTTTAATTTTTTGAACTTTGAAATATTTTAAGCAAACCAATATTTTTCTTGATTTTACATATTATAACAATATATATTAGTTTTTTCTAATTTTCCTGCATTTGTTTAAGTAAAAGTCATTGGTCGTGTATTTTATGTCACATAAATAAATTTCAAAAATATTTTTGTTCTTCTATTTTATGTTTTTAGTACTTCTAGTACAAAATATGGTGTACAAAAGATTTTTACAAATTTGTAAGTATATTTGATAAGCTAAAAAGTGTTATTTCTCACCAGCAAATAAAGCGAATAAGATTACAACTTTCCTTTTTACATAATTTTCAAAGTAAAAGCTTAAATCCAGTAAACAATGACCTTCTTAACTCGTACAATTTTTTACCTTTATAGTTCTCTCAAAGCTTTTATATTTTGTTTTATGTTGAACATATATCAACGGACTTGCTTTTTGCATGGATATAAAAAGTAAAATATCATTGTCGCCGACTCGCAGTGAGACAACGGAGGTGGTTTGTATGTGATAAAGGATTTTAAACCAATAAACGTGTACTGAATTTAAAAGTTTTTGTGAGTTTTTATAAAGTAGGTCTCTTACAAACTTGTATCCCCCATAGAATTTTAGAGATTACACGATTTGATTTTATTAAACATACTTAAGGCTGTTTTATCGGTTCACCAAAACCTAGGGACAGTGTTTTCTCTGTTATTTACCAACAAAATCCCTCGAAATTTGGACACGTTATTCGAAATTATGTTGCCTTTAAAATGATAGTTTTTCTTTTTTATTTTTATGAAATTTTTGTTGAAAAATTGAATTATACTGTTTAACGTTCTATTATAACCAAACTTTTTACAACCATCACTTGAAAGAGTTTTTTTTTTCTGTAATCGTTGATTTTTTCACCTTTCTGTGTCCAGTAATAATCGAGAAAAGCGTGTTCCAACTTTGAAGAAAATTGCTAAAAAATACTTAAATCTAATAGTGAAACGTGTTACTCATCATTGTCGCTTAGTTTCATAGTTATCGCCTTCGTGACGTCAAATCTCATCAACGTACGGTCAGTTAGTTCGTGTTAAAACTAATTTGAATAGAAAAATAATTTATTTGTTGTCATTAAATGGCGCCACTGAGTAAAGATGGTCTGGCGTAAGCAGCGTAGAAAAGTAAGTAATAGCAACGTGCTTTAACTGCTAAAACAGCCTTAATCACATTCTTTTAAAAAATAGTCCGAATAATAAAGCGGCATAAGCTATAAGATAAGATCTTTCAATTCTTCCTACTACATGATGCAGTGCAGAATCGGTAGATCTTCCCGAAGTATATGCATGTTGATTTGGGTGAAGTGGGTTATGAACCAGAACTTCATCCCTTATGTACCTCTCGCATAGCCTCTCCATCGTTTTTAAACAGAAAGGATGTTAGGCTAATTAGTCGGAAAGCCTTTGGTAGGGTGTAGTCCATCCTACCTGGTTTTGGTATGAAGACCACACGTACCTCTCTCCACTTCCTAGGAATATATCTCAAAACCAAAGAGATTCTAAATATTCCCACGAGGTGCGGCAGAAGGATATCCAGTCCCCACCATAGTAGCGCTGGATATATGCCGTCAGACCCTGGTGATTTTAAAGGGGTGAATCACGATATGGCCCATTTTACCTTTTCCTTATTAATCATTGTTCTGGCGAGATTCCAGTCGTCTGTGGAGGGTATGATTGTTTCTTCCATCCGGTTTGGTGCTGTTGAGACACTAGAACCGGGAAAGTGTGTTTTCATCAGGACCTCAGCACTTTCGCGAAGGTTGGAAGTTTTGTTCCCATCTTCTTTCGTTAGTATGCCGACATGCCTATGTGGGTCCTTTGAGAGCGCTTTTTGTAGCCTGGAAGCCTGCGGGAAATCTTCGATTTCCTCACAGAAGGTTCTCCAAGCAGCTCTTTGTCTTTGTCTGCAGACTTTTTTAAACTCTCTGAGATTTGATTGATAAAATTCCCAATCCTCTTTGAGTTTGGTGCGTTTCGCTCTATTAAAAGCTTTTCTTGCTATCAAGCTTGCTATAACAATTATATTTTAAATCATTCTGTATATTTTTAACGTGTAATTTTATTGTGTTTTAATTGTTTCTTGGTTGTTTTTGTTGGCTATTTTTTAATTACTAGTGACCTAGGTGCTTTTAAACAATATTGTTAGTACTGTTTTGAATATATTATGTAAAATATTTTTAACTCTAAATCTGTAAGTAAATCATTGTTTGCAGATTGCGGATTTTCTTGCAGCTTTTTTAGATTTGCTGCTAATGTTTTTAATCACGAGTCAAACAGAAAATATTTTCTGTTCTAAAGTTCGGATTTTAGCTTTTTTTAACACAGATATTTAATTTTACTTAACGTTAACGCGAATTCTGATTATGTATAAACGCTGAAGAGAACAAAACTTTAAAACAAAAATAGTGACAGTGAAAAAGCAGAGCATGGTGCTATTGCGTGTGGGTCATATAACAATAGTGCATTAATTATTAAATCCGATCATAAACTCTTAATTTTAAGTAATTTTAGTACTTTAGGATAGTTAAAATGCTTATTGGCCAACTAAGACTAGACTGTACTCATAAAGAGACTAGAAAGAAACCATTTTATTTACAGAAACTTGCTGCTTTATTTAAATTTGTTAAATTTTATTTGTAGTTACTTATTTATAATGCTAGTAATTATTTACCAAGATCCTCAATACATTTGTCTTACCATCCACGTAAGTGGATGAAAATAAAAAGTTTACAAGCTTACTTATAGAAACTTTTACTTTCTGGCATAAACCACCGAACTTTTTGCCCTTTTCATAATTTATTCCTTTGAACCAGACTAAATATATCGTAAAAGCATTATCCTACAAGGACTCCTTCAGCGAGCGTATTAAATAATTCCTGTAAATATCGATTTGTTCAGAGTCTGTCACTTCTCGTTGTTGTTTAGGATATAAGACAAGATCCTGCCGTCGAGTGGATTTCATATCTTCCATAAAATTTTTAATATACAGCTCTTTAAAAAGAGCACCCTAATTTTTAATATTTTATAAGGTCCAAGAATAATGGGGTGGGAAGTACACGAAATGAGAGCTATTTTTGTATTTATTGCTTAAAACAACGGTTTTCAAATTGTCGGTGTTATTTTAATACTATATATTTCCTGTCCGTAATGACATATTTTTAAATTACTTATGCACAGTGTGTTTTTAAAAAATACTTATAATTAGTTGTGAATTTGAAGAAATTAGGTTCCGTGTAAGCAATGATTACACAGGTCTGCGACATAAAAATTGTTTAAAATTGAATAAGTGATTTTAATAGTATTTTCAACGCTAATTTTGGGCAAAATAGTGAAAACATTCCATCACGTACAGTTATTCCACAAACTGCTTTTCTATTTTTAGCTTTTTTTCGATATTTTTATACGTAGTTCCGTACTCTAGTAAGTTCGAATTTTTGTTTTTTGGATCTTTATGAACTGTTTATTAAGCCCATAGTACTTTTGATAAGTATAAAAAATACTTTAAAGTATTTTTAGTTACTTAGCTGTTTTTTTACTATACAAGTTGTATGTAAAATAAAGAGTTGATTATGAGAAACCAGCATTATTTTCATGTCGGGACTTGTCCATTGCCTCCCCTCCCTCGCCATCCACTTACTGACTCACTGAGCATCTTTTATGTCAGTTCCTGTCTGCCACAGTGCCCATCCCCCTCTCCATCACCAAGCAGGGAGCTTCTGCTACCTGTTCTTCAGTTCACAGTATCTCTTCATTCTGTGCTGTTCACGTGCTGTGGTTATGTTTTGGAATACCAATGATTTGGAGGAAGCCCAAAAACCATAGTGATGACTGCTATTTTTGTTCTTGCAATCTTCAAGGTTTCAATTTGAAAAACAAAAAGGATATTTCTTACCCTAACATCAAATCAGCCATTCGCCCTGTTCCTCATGGACCTGAATTACCAATATCCTCTCCTCCAGTTTCTTTGGATAATATTTTAGATGACCACGAGCCATTGGCTCAGCTAGGTGAAAGTGAAGAAGACAGTGATGGCTACGATCCTGGCACAACCGATCCCGTTCCATTCTCACAATCTGAACTGAATGATTTAGTTAGAGACCTAGATCTTTCTAAAGACTCAGCAGAACTTTTAGGGTCTAGATTAATAGATAAAAATATGTTGGCTCCGGGTACGCCCTTTTCTTGGTATCGTTTCAGGGAAAAGAAGTTTGTATCTTTTTTCTTCCAAGAAGGTGACTTGATGTTTTGCAGTAATGTTCCTGGACTTATGGCACGTTTCAAAATAGAATATGCTCCTAATGAGTGAAGACTTTTTATAGATTCTTCAAAAAGAAGCCTTAAAGCAGTGCTTCTACACAATGGCAATAAGTATGCTTCTATGCCAGTTGGACATTCTGTTCACTTGAAAGAATGTTATGAAAACCTCGAACTGGTTTTAAACAAACTCTGCTATTCAGATCATAAATGGACACTATGTGGTGATTTGAAAGTGATCTCAATGCTGCTTGGTCAACAAAGTGGTTATACAAAGTTCCCTTGCTTTTTCTGTGAATGGTATAGTAGAGACAGAAAGCAACACTACGTTAAAAAGGTTTGGCCCTTGAGAAAAACCTTACAGGTGGGGGTTAAAAATGTTTAGAGGAAAAGCCTTGTGAATACCAAAAAGGTATTACTACCATCCCTCCACATTAAGTTGGGGTTAATGAAACAATTTGTAAAGGCGTTGCCAAAAGAAGGGGAGTGTTTCAAGTATCTTTGTGGACAGTTTCCTGGTTTATCCGAGGCAAAACTAAAGGAAGGAGTCTTTGTCGAACCAGACATTAGAAAACTGATGAGAGATCCCAATTTTATGGACAAAATGGAAACAAACGAAAAATCAGCATGGACATCTTTTAAACTAGTTGTTACCGGTTTCCTAGGAAACAAAAAAGATTCTAACTACAAGACAATCATCGCAGACATGCTCGACAACCTTAAGAAGCTGGGATGTAATATGAGCATTAAAGTTCATTTCCTCCATTCACATCTAGACTACTTCCCTGCAAACCCTGGTAATGTAAGTGAAGAGCAGGGTGAAAGATTCCACCAAGATATCAAGGAAGATGGAACATCAACATGATTGTGGACACTACTGCTGGATGCTAAAACGAGATGACCCTCAACGAGTACACAGCCAGAAAAGCAATAAAAGAAGCTTCGACGGAAAGCAAAAGCGTTACTATAAGGACTTATGAGCTGAAAGAGAAATGTAGGTGTACTAGATATGTAGTTTATAATATGTATTATACATAAAATAAAATCCTTTAACTTAAGAAAAAATTTGAAAAATTGCTAAAATGTTGTTATTATACCAAAAAGTAATTCCTTTTTTGTGAGAAAACCTTACGTGATAAAAAAAAATGGATTGTATTTTTGCAATCAGCGCTGAAAAATACATAAAAATCAGTTATGAAATTCCAAACAATTTTAAAAAATATTTGTTTTGTAAACCTGTGTTGCTATTAAAAAGTGTAGTGTGTTTTTTTTTTATTTTCCAAGTTAAATTTCTTGCAAACATTTAATAAAACAATACAAATTAAATTTTAAGTAGTATATAATTCACGTTAAGATAAGAGACTCCTGTCGCTAGAGGGCTTGTCGGTAAAAAGTTTATGTTTATATACTCTCTCCAAACTTTGAATATCACTTCATTAGTCCGAGTCTAACACGGTTTCCCCCTGCGACTTTTTTTGGTTCTGGGGCGTTTTCCTCTAATTTTTCCAAAACATATCAAATGGCACAAATGGCAACCTGGAAAACTCAAATGGTGGCATTGGTCTGCACATCCATAAAAAACTTGTACACAGTATATTGGATATTAAGCAAATATCAGAGAGAGTGATATACATAATAATTTCACTGAATAATAGATACAAAATGAAAGTTGTACAATGTTATGCTCCAACATCAGCACATGAAGAAAAAGAAATCGAAAACTTCTATGAAGATTTAGCAACAGCATTATCGGAAACAAAATGTCATTTTACTTTTATTATGGGGGATTTCTATGCCAAGGTAAAAACTCAAATTAATGATGCAGAGACGGCAATAGGAAAACACGGTTTAGATGGTCGAAATGAGAGAGACCAGAGACTATTAAATTTTCTTCATAACCATCAGTTATATTTGATGAATAGCATTTTTTCAAAAAAAACCACATAGAAGATGGAGATGGGTAAGCCCAAATGGAAACGTAAAAAAATTATATAGATTTCTTCATAACAGCACATAAAAGATATGGCAAAGATGTCATAGTATTACATCAGTTTGGCATTGGTAGCGATCATCGAGCAGTGAGAGCTACAATACAGTTAAACTTAAAAAATGAAAGAACAAGATTAATAAAGAGAAGGGAATTGAAAAAATGGAGTACACCAGAAAACACAAAAGAATATGTGAAAGCTATAAATCGGGCCTTAAACCGCCCTCTTTCGACAGATGTTGAAAGCGTAAATAATGCAATCACAGAAGCGTTAATGACTACACAAAAACAGTACTGTTCTAGACCAGCGGGAAAAGAAGAGAAACTGAGCGAAAACACCAGAAAGCTCATTAAAGAAAGAAAAATCAAGAGATCAGAGCAGAAAGGCGACTCAGCTGAACTCAGAAATCTGAACAGAGATATCTCAAAAGCAATTCGTAAAGATCAGAAGAAGTATAATACTGAGAAAATACAAAATGTGATTGAGCAAAATGGAAATATAAAAATACTCAGAAGAAAGCTTTGTGATGGTAAAAAGAAAATTGTTAAACTAAAAGACAAGGAAGATAATATAACAACAAATAGGGAGAGAATAGTAGAGATAGCAAAAAGCTTCTATGAAGAATTATACAAAAGCCAGTTAACAGAAGAAGACAAAACACAAATTAGAAAACGCAAAGTAATGAACCAAGGATCCGAACTTCTGCCTACCATACCGATAGAAGAAGTGAAACGAACTCTAAAGGAAATGAAAAACAACAAGGCTCCGGGAGATGACCAAATAGTGATAGAAGCTGTTAAAGTAGGAAGCAAGAAACTGCTGGAAGTAGTAACTGAACTATTCAACCTATGTCTAAACCAAGGTATTGTCCCTACAAAATGGAACAATGCAATTACTATCCTAATACACAAAAAAGGAGATATATCAGACCTAGAGAATTATAAACCGATAAGTCTTTTGTCACTTCTCTACAAATGGTTTACCAAGATCATCACAAAACGTTTAGAACGAAAATTAGATTTCTATCAGTCAAATGAGCAAGCTGTGTTTAGGAAAGGTTATGGAACAAATGACCACCTACAAGCACTTAAAATACTAATTGAAAAATATGTTGAATATAATAAACCACTCACGTTGATTTTCATAGACTTCAAGAAAGCTTTTGATACCGTTGAATTACCGGCAGTATTAGGAGCATTAGAACAAAGCCGAGTAGACTATAGATATACAAATTTGATAAAACATATATACAACAACGCAACAGCATCTGTTAAGCTCCATGACTTTACCGAAAAATATAGAATTGAGCGAGGAATTAGACAGGGCGACACCATCTCCTCCCAAATATTCACTGCAGCTCTGGAATATGCCTTTAAAAAACTAGATTGGGCTAAAAGGGGAATAAATATTGATGGTTAATACTTAAGCCACTTGCGCTTTGCAGATAATATTGTCATTATAGCCGAGAGTTTAAATGAAGCTCACAAAATGATGGAAGAACTAAAACAGGCAATAGAACAAATAGGCCTGAACATAAACTTTGAAAAAACAAAATACATGACCAATTTAGTTCCAAGTGATGTTATGAGGGTAGATGGGAACGAAGTACATCAGGTCTTTAGCTACATCTATTTAGGGCATGAAATTAGAATAGGAAAAGACAATCAAACTTGTGAAATCCAGCGTCGCATTGGCTTGGGATGGGCAGCATTTGGCAAGATGCGAGATATTCTAAAAGGAACGCTACCGATTTGTTTGAAGAAAAATGCAACTTAATCATATTGGCAATATTATTATAAATTCGTCTACTTTAAAATATATAATATATGTCTTAAATGTCAACATAAATGAGTAGGATAAAATTAAAGAGTGAAGAATTTTTCACCAAGTAAAAAAACAAAATTTGTTTAATGTTTAATGAGAATAGATAACATCTTATAATTTGTAAGGAGTTTAAAAACTTAAAGAATTCATTAAAATAAAAGCATCGTAATTTTTTTTATATTGGCACATAATTACCACCATTTTATAAAAAATTTAAAGCAGCTGGAAAATATCTGCAAATAAATTTTTTTCGCTTGCTTTTTTAAACATGATTATATAACGAGCCAGAACATTTTTTATCACATATTTAGTGGTTCATTTACAACGGCTGCAATTTCATAAATTTCGTTTTATATTTGAGATTAAATCTGGGATAATCGGGCCTGTCATGAAGATGAGCGACTCTTGAAAAAAATTCAATAAAGTCAAAGATCTCTACAAGATATCAAGTCGTTCTCCGATATTTAAGGGATTTGATGCTTTCGCAACGCCCTCGACATTCTGATGTATTCGAAGTCTGGAAAGTAATAGGGGTGGCTATTTAAGGATATTAGATAGTATCGGGTTTCGGCAAAAAATTACGATGTTTACTACGAATAACGGCATAACGCTATAAAATTTATAAGTTTAGAAAATTGAACCACTAATTAACTTGATTTAATGATTAACATGATTTAGTCGAGACCTAACATTTATCTTAGGTGTCTTTAATGCTAAGTTAGGTAGAGGAAAAGTTTCTGGGTTGATCGGAGACTTCGGACTTGGAGCAAGGAACGACAGGGGAGAGAGAATGACCGAATTCTGCCAACAACACAACATGGTAGCGACAAATACATGGTTTAAGTTACACCCTCGCAGATTGTATACTTGGACTTCACCACAACACAATGAAAATAGAGTAATCCGTAACCAAATAGATTACATATTGGTCAACAAAAAATATTACAATCCAATCATCAGTGTAAAAACATATCCTGGAACTGACATCAATTCCGATCATAATACTGTTGTTGGAAAAGTTTGTTTGTTGAAAAAGAAAAAACCTCAACACCAACTATTAGACATCCAATTATTAAAAAACGGCACCATACATCAGACAGTAAATAAAGAATTAAACAAAAATTTAGGAAATATCGACCACAATAGAATTAGCGAGTACGATGACATAAACCTTCTGTGGAAAATTATTAAAGAACAAATGAGCAATGTAACGGAAAAACATATAAAAGTAACACCTAGAAATAACAAACAGGAATGGATAACAGAAGAGATTTTACAATTATTGAACAAACGAAGAAAATCTAAAGGAAAAAATGATAAGCACGGAGAATACAAAAGACTAAATAGAATAATTCGAAAAAAAAAAATAACCGAAGCAAAAGAGAAATGGCTGGCAACAAAATGCGTTGAAATAGAAGAACTGCAACAAAGGCACGATTTTTTTAATTTACATAAAAAGGTAAAGAAGTTTACATCGACTACCAAGAAAACGACTTTTCACACCATGCTGATCACGGATGGCAAACTGCTAGAATCAACGGAAGATAAACTGAAAGGATGGGAAAACTATATTAAAATTCTTTTTCACGAAATACGAGAAGAACCAAGATTGGAAAATAACAACGAAGGGCCAACAGTTCTGAAATCTGAAATCATAAATGCAATTAATCATCTCAAAACAAATAAAAGCCCAGGTCCAGACGGAACATACCCAGAAACGTTAAAATTAATCGGCGAAGAAAATATCGAAATATTTGTCCTTTTATTCAATCACATTTATGATACAGGACTCCAAGGATCGAGTCAATGTAAATGGCATAAATATCAACAGAATCAGATACGCCGATGATACAGTGTTAATTGCGGATTCCGATTTAGGTCTACAACGACTCATCGACAAGACCAACTCGACCTGTCAGCAATTTGGTATGAAAATAAACATTAAAAAAACCAAAGTGATGTCAATCCGAAAAAACCAATACGTACCTCTTATTCTTTTTCTTCTTCAGCCTGTGTTCCTTCACTGCTGGACATAGGCCTCTTCCATTTGCTT